AAGAGAAGGAGAGAGAAAACTCAAATCACTAACATACGTGATAAAAAAGGAAATATCACACCAGACACTACAGAAATACAGAAGATAATTAGAAATTATTTTGAAAACTTGTACTCCAATAAAATAGATAACGAAGCCATTGACAAATTTCTAGAGTCATATAATTTGCCCAAATTGAATCAGGATGATATCCATAATTTAAACAGATCAATTTGAAGTGATTAAATAGCAGATGCCCTCAAAAGTCTACCAACCAAGAAAAGCCCAGGTCTGGACGGATACACAGCAGAGTTCTAGAAGACCTTTAAAGAAGAACTAATACTAATACTTTTTAATTTATTTCAGGAAATAGAAAAAGAGGCAGCACTTCCAAACTCCTTCTATGAGGCAAATATTACTCTGATTCCAAAACCAGGCAAAGACACATCAAAAGAAGAAATCTTCAGACTTAAATCTCTAATGAACATAGATGCAAAAATTCTCAATAAATTTCTGCCAAATTGAATACAAAAACATATCAAAAAATCATGAACCATGATCAAATAGGATTCATCCCAGGGATGCAAGGTTGGGTCAACATACGGAAATCAATAAATGTAATTCATCACATCAATAGACATAAAGATAAGAATCATATAATCATCTCAATAGATGCAGAAAAAGCTTTTGACAAAATACATCACTAGAAAAACTAGGGATAACAGGAACATATCTCAACATCATAAAGGCTATTTATGCTAAGCTGCAGGCCAACATCATTTTCATTGGAGAAAAATTGAAGGCATTCCCTCTAAACACTTGAACAAGACAGGGATGCTCTCTTTTACCACTTCTATTTAACATAGTTCTTGAAACTTTGGCCAGAGCAATTAGACAGATGAAAGAAATTAAAGGGATATACATAGGAAAAGCAGAACTCAAATTGGTACTCTTTGCTGATGATACGATTCTATACTTAGAAGACCTTAAAAGTTCCACCAGAAAACTTGTAGACCTAGTAAATGAATTCAGCAAAATAGCAGAATATGAAATCAACACCCATAAATCAAAGGCATTTCTGTATATCAGTGACAAATCATCAGAAAGGGAAATGAGGAAAACTACCTAATTTTCTATAACCTCAAAAAAAATAATAATACTTGGGAGTCACTTAATGAAAGAGGTAAGATATCTATATCATGAAAATTAAAGAACCCTAAAGAAAGAAGTCAAAGAAGACCTTTGAAGTTGAACAGATCTACCTTGCTCTTGGATAGGCATAATTAATATTATCAAAATTACCATACTTCCAAAAGCACTATACAGATTTAATGCAATTCCAATCAAAATTCCAATGACATTCCTCATAGAAATAGAAAAAGCAATCATGAAATTCGTCTGGAAAAATAAGAGACCCAGAATAGCTAAAGCAATCCTTAGCAGGAAGAGTGAAGCAGGTGGCATCACTATACCAGACCTTAAACTATACTACAGAGCAATATTAACAAAACCAGCATGGTACTGGCACCAAAACAGACTGTAGACCAATGGTTCAGAATAGAGGACACAGAGACTAACCCACAAAACTCAGTTATTTTACATTAGACAAAAGTGCCAAGAACATGTATTGGAGAAAAGATAGCGTCTTCAGCAAATGGTGCTGGAAAAATTGGAAATCCATATGCAACAAAATGAAATTAAAACCCTGTCTCTCACCATGCACAAAACTCAACTCAAGATGGATCAAGGATTTAGGAATACAACCAGAGGCACTGTGTCTTATAGAAGAAAAAGTAGGCCCTAATCTCCATCATGTGGGATTAGGCCCCAACTTCCTAAATAAGACTCCTGTAGTACAAGAATTAAAATCAAGAATCAATAAATGGGATGGACTCAAACTAAGAAGTTTCTTCTCAGGTGAATAGAGAGCCTACATCTTGAAAGCAAATCTTTACCCGTCACACATCAGATAGAGCACTAATCTCAAGGTATATCAAGAACTTAAGAAGCTAAGCACCAAAACCCCAAATAACCCTATCAATAAGTGGTCCAAGGATCTGAACAGACACTTCTCAGAAGATGATATAGAATCAGTCAACAAATACATGAAAAACTGTTCATCATCATTAGCAGTTAGAGAAATGCAAATCAAAACCAATCTAAGATTTCATCTCACTCCAGTCAGAGTGGCAGCTATTATGCATACAAACAACAATAAGTGATGGTGAGGATGTGGATGAAAAGGTACACTCATACACTGCTGGTGGGACTGTAAATTGGTGCATCCAATATGGAAAGCAGTATTGAGATTTCTTGGAAAATTGGGAATGGAACCACCCTTTGACCCAGCGTCCCTCTCCTCGGTCTATACCCAAAGAACTTAAAAACAGCATACTACAGGGACACAGCCACATCAATGTTTATTAAAGCAGCACAATTCACAGTAGCGAAACTGTGGAACCAACCTAGATGCCCTTCAACAGAAGAATGGATAACAAAAAATGTGGCATATATACACAATGGAATATTACTCAGCAATAAAAGAGAATAAAATCATGGCATTTGCAGGTAAATGGATGGAGTTAGAGAAGATAATGCTAAGTGAATTTAGCCAATCCCCAAAAACCAAATGCTGAATGTTTTCTTTGATATAAGGAGGCTGACTCATAGTGGGGTAGGAGCATGGTAGAAATAGAGGAACTCTAGACAGGCCAGAGGGGTTGGAGGGGAAGGGAGGGGGCATGGGATTATTAATGATGGTGAAATGTGAGGATCATTATTATCCAAAGTACAGATATGAAGATACGAATTGGTATCTTCAAACAGAGATATGAAAAAATGTGCGCTATATGTGTAATAAGAACTTTAATGCATTCTACTGTCATATATAAATAAAATGAAAGAACCCAGAACATCAGTAAATATGTTTTAAAACAATTATAATGTTTTAAAAATGCATATCTGTGGCTTATAAATATGCACAGACATTATTTTATTTTCCTGATTGTTTGAATATGCACAAGACTTTATTTTATTTTCCTGATTGTTCAATAAGCCTGGTTAAACAATTTTTTAAGGTATTGAATTTTCTTAGAAGGACCTTCTTTTAGAGACTATTCTACTCATTGGACAAAATGGTTAAAAATAAAATCATTTGTCAACAATCATTCTTTAAAAACAAACAAACAAAAAAGAAATTAAAAAAAAAAGAAACCACAGTCTGCTCCTGGATTGAAAAGATGGTCAGTGTTTAATATTGTTTTTCCTGTATCTCAGCATGAGATTTTAAACTTCATTGGAAGTGTATTGAAACTAGTGAGGAAAAACTCTCCCAGAGGCAATTCTATCAGTCATTTTCAGAAAAATCACACTTACATAAATAGTCTAGAAGATTTCAATTTTAAATTTGTGCTTAGAAATGAATCTCTTGAGCCAGGCACAATGGTGCACACCTGTAATCCCAGTGGCTTGCGGGGCCGAGGCAGGAGGATTATGAGTTCAAAGCCAGCCTCAGCAAAAGTGAGGAGCTAAGCAACTCAGTGAGACCCTGTCTCTAAATAAAAATACAAAATTTAGGGCTGGGGATGTGGCTCAGTGGTCAAGTGCCCTGGAGTTCAGTTCCCGTAAGGCCCTTTGCCCCCCCCCCCCAAAAAAAAAAGAAATGAATCTGTTAAATGTGTGGCCTTTTTGCTTTAGATCCCAGCAAATTTACCCCATTGAATTCTTGGTATCTTGGGTGGTGAGATAAGGGGAAATAACATGTGTGTTATGTGGATATGTGTGTGTTTATATATGTTTGTGTATGTCCCTAAGGCTGCCAGGAATTTATTGTGAGTGATAAATGGAGTTAGATAATACAGTCTTGTCTGTCCTCTTTGTTTTCTGGAATATTTTAGGAATAAGATCAGTGTGTTAGTTGTTTATTCCCATCTTTGCTTGACCAGCATTGTTACTGTAGTGACTCATTGATTATTATAATATTGATACAGAATGAGCATCCACTTATGTTACCTACCATAATCAATTATTACAACACTAGCTGAAATGTTTGCAATTCTTTTATTCCTTCTAGAATTGTGAGTTGGAATTTTAATTCCATGACAGTGCTCTGTGTTCCCCAACTTCTTATTCATGTATTATTTTATTTTAATTTTTTTTATTGTTGGTCGTTCAAAACATTACATCTTTCTTGATATATCATATTTCACAGTTTGATTCAAAAGGGTTATGAACTCCCATTTTTACCCTGTATACAGATTGCTGAATCACATCAGTTACATCAATTACATTTCCATTGATTTACATATTGTCATTCTAGTGTCTGATGAATTCTGCTCTCTATCCTATCCTCTACTATCCCCCCTCCCCTCCCCTCCCCTCCCCTCTTCTCTCTCATGTCAGTATTACTTAGGCATTCCTCCTTTTCTCAAAGAGTTTGCTTCTGTTATTATAATTGTATATTTTATGCTCCAGTTGTCCCCAACTAGCCCAATGGAAGGTCCTTTAAATTGGCCTCAGTGTTCATTTGATACTTTGATAGAATTCCCTTGAGTATGCACTTTGCTCTGTGAGTCTTATCATCTTCCTCTCTGTAGAAAGGAAGTCATGAAGCCCACCTCAGACCACCACATTGAGCATTAGGAGTGCCCAAAAACCTCAACCCATAGCCTGTGACATCTAGTAGGATCTCAACAAGTTTCCCATTCGAACTCAGCCTCTTTCATTGTGTCGATGCAATGCCGCTGACACTAACAATGGCATGGCTACAGAGAGATGACTTGGAAATGTAACAAACAAGAGAATGTTCACATTTCCATTATGAGTGGCCTTCGTGGTCAAAGGTATGTGGAGGAGGGTTGTGGGATGGAGCTGGGAAAAGGACAAGTATCATAGCATGGTTTCCAGTCAACCCTGTGGGGACAGGCAAGACATGGCCACCCCATCCACTGCATTTCATGTGTTTTCCCTTCCTCTTACTTTCCTCTCTATTCCATATGCTTTCTTTCTCCTCTCTCTTCAAGTTAAACATTGGTGAAGGATGTGGATGCTATACATAACCAGGAGCTCATGGAGAGGAAGCTAGTGTGGTGTGGGCTGTTAGAGGAGCTATTGGAAAAGAGTGGACAGGACACAGGGACACTATAGGTAAGTAACTTCCCTTTTACAATATTTGTTTATTCTCCAGGATAAAAATTCACATTCCTCTGACCAGGAAATCTAGAGTTTGAATGTGATCCTGTGTGGTCTCAGGTCAAAGGAAAGACCTGGGCAATTTGGAGTAATTACATTAACAGAGACACCCCAGATATCCCAGGAATTTTCATGAGTTTCAATGGAACAAATTTGAGCTGATTGGTTAGCATTTTTCCAAGTGTGGTTCATGAATCGATCACTTCATCAAAATCACCAGGGGTTGCTTAATGATATGGCCAATTTTTGATTCCACATCAAGTGCTGAATCAAAACCATGGGGGAGGATAGGAAGCATCTACTTTATTAGTATTTCTTCATTTGGTACTGGTTTAAAAAAAAATGGTGCTATGAAGTTAAACCAAGATCCTCTAATATTTTGATATGTTTGATGTATAATTTAATTGTTGGTCTTTCCTGACTGTTGACTTAAGATGTCTGTGTCTTCTCTATTGTATCAAACAGGTTGCAAATAACTCATCTAGTTAAGTACTGTTTATTCACTGATTTGTGTTCAAGGCTCTGGGGAAACAACACAGATTAACAAGATAGGCAGGCTCCTTGGAGGTGTCATTCTCATTTGGAAAACTGGCATTAAGCAAGAAAACATTAATAAGCAGACTGATTTCATATAAGGATTTTTGCTTTGTTGTAAAAAAAAAAACAGTAGAAAATGACAAGGATTATGATTGAAAGAAAAGTGGTGCAGGACTAATCACACACACCTGGGATAAGAAGCAAGTTTATTGTCAGGAGCCTGACAAGGCTGCTCTGCACAGAGAGACAGCAGCAGCAAGCAAGGAGAGCAGCAGCAACTCCCCCTTGAATGTTTCCTTTTATAGGCTAGAATCATGGCCATGTGCTAGGGTGGGTTTAGTCTTGACTGACATAGTAAGCATCCCCTGATCTTGTGGAAGGCAAGTTTGTTTTGTGGGAACAGAGATAGGCAGTTTTCCTATCTCTCGGGGGGGGGGGCGGCGGACAGGGAAAACAGAACGTCCCTTAATCTTCTCAAGAAGAAAACAGGGAAACCAATATGCCCCCATCTCAGAGGCCAGTAAGTTGTCTCCTATCTTTCAATGAGAGATCAGGGAGAGACCGGCATGTCTTTAGGCTGGTAGGTTTTATCTTGGGCTACTTTCTATTTCTTGGGAGTAAGAATAGTATTCATAAAGTGGGGGTGGAGAAAAGGAAGATGGCTGCAATCATGCTAACAATGATAAGGTATGTTACTAATGAAGTTTTTTCTCAAGAAGGGACATTTGAACTATGTCCTGAATGACAAAAAGAAGCAAGGCATGGACAAGCCATTCTGTCAGTGTATCTGCAATGTGTAGGCACCAGTTGAATCAGGATCAGAGTGCAAGCTCAGTGGCTGGATCCTGGTGAACAATGTGCAGACTGGTGGGAGGTGAGGTGGAGAGGGCAAATGGAGCCACAGGGTTTGGGCTGTGTAAGGAGTTTGGATTTTATTCTGAGTGTGGAGGGTTAGAGTATGGGCATGACATGATCTGGGTCTTTTCTTACTCAGGTGACACTGGCCTCTCTGTGAATGTATTGGAAAGGGACAACTGTCTTGTGCCGACAACCACTAGGAGAATATTGCCCAAGGCCATGGGAGGGATGAGGGAAGATGGGAGCTGTGCTGCAGCATTGTGCAGAGGGAGGGGTATGCCCAGACAGCGCATGTCTGGAGGAAGGGCAGGAGGGACCTGCAGTGGCTGGGCATGGGGGTGGTGTGAGGATAGGACAGAATCAAAGGCCCCTGGGCTTGTTCGGCCACGTGGAGACATGGTGGTGCTGTTTTCTGAGATCAGTTGCTCCAAGTGCCTGACATTCTTTGGTTATCCAATAGTAGTCATAGTGAAATTTAGTGATTTAATATAATGTATCATTTGATGAATAAGATTCAGTTTTAAGTCTGTTGCCCTTTAATAATGACAGATACAGACTCTAAAACAAAGCTGTAAAAATCTTATCTTGCAAGTATTTATACAACAACTCAGGATATTGCTCATTGACCTTGTACCTAACACTCTGCTAAGGGTTTTCAGGTATCACCTCAAGTAATTCTCAAAATAACAATCTATGTTATAAGGAAAACATTTCCCCCACTTAACAAAAGAGGAAACTGAAGGACACACCCAAGATTATGAGCCAGATAACCCAATACCAATACTTGATTTTTTAAATAATAGGATTTATATGTATTTGCCTGTGCCAAAATGAAACAGAAAGTAATGTTTTAAAACATTTTCTCTTCCAGGATCAGTACTGCATAATCCCAGTTTTTCAGAGGAGGCATTAGAGGGATGATGAGGTGAACTAAAATATTCAAAGTCATGCAGTTTGTCAGAAGTTGTGTTTGTCCCTAGCCTGTGTCTGGTACCACACTCCTAACCTGCTTACTCAGGAAGAAGAAACACACCCTGTTTGAACCCTGTCAGCCCATCTGTGGGTAGGCTGAAGCAGGCTGTGGCTGTCAATTCTATTCCATTGATTGATGGTGGTATTGTTCACCTATGTCCTCATCATTTTCTGCCTGCTTTCCACAACTTTCCTTTCCTTGTAAAGAGGAGTTGATGTCCCATTTATGACAGTGAATTCATATATTTTACTTGAAATTCTTTTAGTTGTAGCCTCATGTTTTTTTATTATTGTTTTTGTTGTTTTTATATTTTTCTAGATGTTGATGGACCTTTATTTTATTCATTTATTTATATGTGGTGCTGAGAATAGAACCCAGTGCCTTACAACATGCTAGGCAAGCACTCTACCACTGAGCCACAACCCCAGCCCCAAGTTTTTGACACATACACATTGAGGATTATAATGTCTTCTTGAGAATTTGGTCTCTTTTTCTTTATGCAATTCCCATCTTTATTCTTGTAAACTTTGCTTTTTCTGATCTCACCCACCTTGAAATTCATGTGTCTATTCCAGCTCTCATTTGAGTATTGCTAAAAGTCAAATGATGGAGAAAGATATACCATGTTAATATTAGGCCTTTTTATATTTAAGTGAGTTTCTTATAGACATAATACATTTGAGGTTTGGATTTTGGATCCCTTCTGGTAATTTGTCTTTTACTTGGTTTATTTACACCATTGACATTCAAAGTGATATTGATGTGGTTGAATGAACATCTATCTTATTTGTTCCTATTCTCTATGTGTTGCCCTTGTGCAGTGTCCATATCTCTATCTCCCACTCTTTTTCTACTTTTTGTGGGTATAAGTAATTTTTTTTAACCTTTATTTTATTTTTTTATGGTGCTGAGAATTAAACCCAGTGCCTCATACATGCTAGGCAAGTGTTCTACCATTGAGCCACAACCCCATCCTGTAAGTACTTTTTATACTTATATTTTTATTCTTTCTCACTTTATCAGTTTTACTTATTCTTGTCCTTTTTAGTGTTTACACTATGGGATATTATCCACTTGCAGCCAATCCAAGTGTACTTTCAGATAATTGCAAACTGAATCATAGGTAGTGAATTAACTTTATATTAACAGGTTAATCCTAGTCCCTGTCTCACATTCCAGTATCATTGCTATCATTTATTTCACCTATACAGAAGCATACATAATCATACATACAAATACACACATAATCAAATACACTGAGTAATCTGTAATCTGTAGGATCATTGCAGAGAGATGTGGGACCCTTTTGGCCCCAGGTAGCATGATATCCTGCTCCAGGGATTCCTGGACCTACTTTCCATGAAAAGGAAGGAAAGGCTTTCTGAGCCTAGCTTCCCCCTCTGTAAAAAGGTGGTTAAGATGGTCACATATTCCGAGCTTTTCAAAGTTTTCTTTTTTATTTTTATCTTTTTTTTTTCATACTGGCAATTGAACCTAGAGTCACTTAACCACTGAGCCACATTCCCAGCCCTCTGGTATATTTTCTTTAGAGTCAGGGTCTCACTGCATTGCTTACTGTCTCACTAAGCTGTTGAGGTTGGCTTTGAACTCAGAATCCTCCTGCTTCAGCTTCCCAAATTACTGGAATTATAGGTATGTGCCACTGTGCTCAACTATTTTTAATTTTTGACATAGGATCTCCCTAAATTGCTTCGGGCCTCGCTAAATTGCTTAGGGCCTGGCTAAATTGTTGAGACCAACTCCTGTCTCTGTCTCCCATTTTGCTGGGATTACAGGACCATGCCCCAGCAATATACTCTATAGTGAACTCTTTTAAAGAAGCCAGGACACCATAAACATACCTTGGAGAAAAGAGACCCTCTTCAACAAACTGTTCTGGAAAAACTGGAAATCCATATAGAGCAGAATGAAGTTTAAACCCTGTCTCTCACTCTGCACAAAACTCTGCCTACAGTAGATCAAGGTCCTAGGCTTTACATATCTAGTCTACTAGATGAAAGTGTAGCCCCAACACTCCAACAAGCACTCCTAGTTGCTTAGGATTCAACTTCCTCAACAAATCTCCTAAATTGCAAGAAGTAAAATCAAGAGTCAATAAATGGGATGGTGTCAAACTAAAATGCTTCTTCACAGCAAAGGAAACAATCAAGAACTTTAAGGGAGAGCCTACAGAATGGGAGAAAATTATTGCTCTATCTGTACCTCAGATAGAGCTTTAACCTCCAGGATATACAAAGAACTTAAAACACTTAATACCAAAACAATAAATAACCCAATCAATGCATGGGCAAAGGAACTGAACAGGCACTTCACAGAAGAAGAAATAAGAATCAATAACAAATATGTGAAGAAATGTTCCTCTTGCAATTAGAGAAATGCAAATTAAAACTACACTGAGATTTTATCAACTCCAGTCAGAATAGCAACAATTAAGAATACATACAACATCAAATGTTGGTCAGGATGTAGGGATAAGGGTATACTTATACATTGCTGATGAGACTGCAAATTGCTGCAGGCACTCTGGAAATCTGTATATAAATTCCTCAGAAAACTTGGAATGGAG